GACGGCTGAGCTCTGGGCATGCCCCGGCAGCAATGGAGGTGCCTCCCGCTCTGCTGCGGTCCCAGGGCGCTGGGGGGGTCCTGCAGCAGGAACTGGGGGGGAGTCCTGCCCCCGGATCCCGGCCTTGGGGCCAGCTGTGGAGCTGGGGGGAAGGCACAGCCCTCCTGCCCCCCAGCCCTGCTGCACCTGCATCCCCCCAGCCCCACAAGGCACCAAGTGAACCCAAACCGGACAGACAGCTCTTTCCCTCAAAGCAGGACTGATCCCCAAGCACAGGGCACAGCCATGAGTAACAAACCCCAGAGCCTGTCGGGGCACGAGGCGGCATCCTGTGGACAGCCCGGCTGCCGGCTCTCGGCTGCCAGGAGCCAGCAAGCTCCACTCGCCTGCACCGGCAAGCACTGGGACACGCTGAGCAAGGAGAAACCTGAGCTGGGCAGGCAGGAGCCCTGACGGGGCAGGCAGCGGGGAAGGGCACCCTGGGAGAAAGCTGCCCTTGAAGGCAGGAGGGTGCGGGGCAGGAGGGACCCTCGCTCCCAGGAGCAGCACAGCTGCCGACAGGAGGAAAGGCGGAGGAGAAGAGCAGCTCATGGGGCTGTGAGGGCAGCCAGGTGCTCACCGCTGACATGACCAACCTTCTGGTTTTGGCACCACTTCCCCTTTCCCTGGGGCCGAGGCAGTGGTTGCCACATCGCCGGGGGCCTTTGGCAGCCAGGAGGCACAAGAGCAGGCAAGAGGGGCCGGGGGGACGTGGGGCTGAGCCAGGCACATGGTGTGGCGAGTGCCTGCCCAGGGCCCAGACCAGCAGCCAGAGAAAGCCCCATGCAGCAAGAGCACCTGCAGGTGCTCCAGCCAGCTTGCAGCAGGGCCAGGCGGCACCTCCTGGGCTGAGCGACCCAGACACCCGCCTCGACCTTCAAACCCTGCCTGGGCAAGGTGGGGTGTTCACAAACAACCTAGGGTTATGCTAACCGGGGCTCTTGGCCCCGATCCTCTGCCTGCCAGAAAGTGGGGCCCTGGAGAGCTGCCTCCCCCCACCAGTCTCCCCCCTCCCTCGGACCCAGAGCAGAAGTGTCCGACCCCAAACCTGACACGATGGCCCAGCGCACAGACAGGCTGAAACGACCACTCGGGGACATGCGGGCCCTGCTGCATCCCTGACATGTAATTGCTGAGTGTCAGCAATGTGCCTTATTGTCCTCTGCTCCCGAACATCTCAGGAGAGGAATTGGCTGATTTCCTCTGCCCAACACTGCGCTACCCGAGCCCCGCCGGCCCCAGCCCCTGGCTCTGCTCTCCAAGCCCAGTGCCATCTGTGCACCATCCCCGTGTCTTCATCCTGGGAGCCCCAGAGCTCTGTGGAAGAGCCGCTCCGCCAGCCGGACCCAGCGACTCGCCCCGGCTCACCCCTGCACCATGCCAGGGAAGGGGCTGTTCCGTCACTGGCAGCTCCCCCGGCAGCATCCCCCCCAGCCCCGGTCCCCTCGGTGCAGAGGTGCACGCCACAGTCCCGGGTTGCCTCCGAAACAGCTGAGCCCACGCCAAGGGCCTGCCAGGGCCTGCCTGCAAACCAGGGCTGTGTGGGCTGGCAGTGGGGAGAGGGCAGGGATCCCCCCAGCCTGCTGGGGGACCTGAGAGCCCACCCCCCTTCGGGGATCTCCCGCACCTCACACAGCCCACCCCACCTCCTGGCACCGTCCATCCCGCCCCAGACAGCAAGGCCCCCCAGGCACAAGCTGCTTTGCGGGAGGCTGCATCAGCCCCGCTTAGAGAAATCCCTTAATCCCCCAGGCCAGAGCGAGCAGTAATCCCCCGGGTGCAGCAGGATTACCAGCACTGCCCAATCCCCCTCACCCCGGGGCTGGGCCTGAGCAGAGACGGGGCCCAGCTCAGGACACGGTGCCAGGACGGGATCGTGCTCCCCGCAGCAGGCTGCTCACCGGTGCTGCAGCTTCAGCGGGGCAGGAGCAGCCAGGACGGTTCCCTACCACGACACTGCTGCCCCACTGTCCAGCGGCGTTTGCATCCGCACCACCGTGCTCGGTAAGCTCCAGTCTAGGGATGGGTTAGGTCTCACCGCCGTCTCCACGGGGAGATGCTGAGAAGGGGGTGAGAGCACGGCCCCGCACCCTGGCAGGAGTGGGGGGAGCCCACATCTGTGCCACCAGCTGCTCGCCCCGGGATTTGCTCTCTGCTGAGGCAGACGGCTGGAGCGGGGCCGCGTATCGCGGGGCAGACACTGGTGTCAGCACAATCCCACCAGCAAGAGCCTCCCTATTGGGCTCCCACCATGCCGAGGCCTCGGCAGACCACCCTCTGCAAAAACAACAGAGCTAAAGGGCTTCGGGAGAGCTGCAGATCGCGATGCCCCTGCAACAGAGACAGCAGCGGGGATTTGGAGGTGGCTGTGCCGCCCATCCTGCGCACCACCCTGCGGCCGCCACGGCATGGTGAGCGGGTAATTTCTGATGCTGATAGATGACCCAGGACATCTTCCAGGCAATTCTGGGAAGCAGCGAGAGGCTGCTCGCAGAATCGCTCCCCGCTGAACTCTCCTGCTAATGGGCTGCATCCGACAACGCCCGTGCTGGGCCGTACACCAGCAGGGCCGGGCACTTGCACCTTATCTCACACAGTAAACTCCCCACCACCAAGTGCAGTCACTTCTGGGGTGGAACAGCAGCCTCCTAATCAGCTGTGTTGCACAACTGTGGCAGGCAGGAAGCCGGCCCGTGAGCCAGCGCTGCCGGCAACAGCGTCTTCATCGGCACTGGCAGCTCCTGGGAAGAATGGCCACCAGCACGGCTCGCAGCATCGGGACCTTGGTTTCAGATCTCACCCAGACAGCCTCTAGCCTCCCCTTCAGCAAAGTCCTCGCTCAATGAAAACCCACCCATCGACCCACAGGAACCTGCCTCAGAGGTTCAAGACACAGGCAGCCGCCTTCCCACCCAGTCCTGTTCCTCGGCACCAGGAGGGAATGCTCTGTGGACACAAAGGATGGAGGAAAGCGGGGAAGCAATCTGCACATGCATGAGAGAGGGGATCCGCAGCCCCTAAGCCGCCTCGTCCTGCTCAGTCCACCCTAGGAGCGGGCCCTGGGCACACACCAGGCGCTCCCGTGGCAGGCGGACGTGCTCCTGAGCTGGGGTGGTTTGTGAGATGTTCAACAGACGCCATCGACATGAGCCTGCCCTGCAGATCTGTGGAGCCCAAACTCAGACAGTGCTCAGAGGCAGCAACTGAATACAAAGTGCGAGCGGAGGGAAGGTGTGCAGGCAGCAGGTCCCAGAGCCCGGCAGCACTGACGGTGCAGGCAGCAGGTCCCAGAGCCCGGCAGCACTGACGGTGCAGGCAGCAGGTCCCAGAGCCCGGCAGCACTGACGGTGCAGGCAGCAGGTCCCAGAGCCCGGCAGCACTGACGGTGCAGGCAGCAGGTTCACAGCTTGGCAGCACC